GTCCGCTGACCTGGACTGCATATGATGTTACAGGCTGCCACCGTTTGTTTTTTAACTTTTAAATGTGTCTTGATATTTAGAGCAGCGGTGGTGTGGAAATGGCAGATTTCATTAGCGCTTAAAAAATATTCGCATTAACGATTCAATTTCTCAACAGTCAACTAACCACTCTATCGATCAGCGTGAATTAAACACACACAAAAGAGGTTGTGACCTACAGAGTCGCACGGTGAGATGGCTGCTAACGCACTTGCCTTACAGCAAAACGGTCAGCAGTTTAAGTTCCAGCGCTCACGCTTATGATCTTTCTGAACGGTTTGCATGTCATTGCTTCCCCCAAACAAGCCATAAATGTGTAGGCGAGGATCAGTAGACAATCAAAACCAGTCACAGTTATAAACGTGAGTGAGTGAGCCATTGTTGGTGGGACAGTGATTGACGGTTGGAATTTTAATATTCTCCCGCCTTTTTTCCCCCCGAGGTATTCTGGTTTCATCCCACAGTCCTAAACCGTACAGGAGTTGGTTAATTAGAATTAATAACAGTTAACATGTCTTGTAAAAGTCAGTCAGTTACGTAATGAAGTTTGACAGTGTTACTTTACTCAATTCAGTCACTCACTGCGAAGCCTTGGCCTGTTTAGTTGAACACAACCAGGAATTGAAGAAAGACACGCATGATCTTCAGCAGCTCCAGGTCTCTTTAGTTTTGATGGTCATGTGCTGCCATCTAGGGGAAGCATATTTAATTGCTCTGCCCATTACTGTCATGTAGACAAATTAAGAAATTATTAGCAGTAAATAAAGTGAGTTTTCAGACCAATTGAGGGAAACACAAACTAGGACAAATTCAGAAGTTCACCTGATTATCTTTTGGGAATCAATGGCTATGTCTTCATTAGATGGTGGGTTCTTCGCCTGAAAAACAGGTATTTTTTTTAAGAAGAAAACAATTTTGTTCTATCTGCCAGAGAAGCAGGACATTGATATATCTGCCAGTAGGGGGCGTACAAAAACGTTGTTGTAAATGCTACACACTGACCAGAATGTTTGTAGACACAGGATTTACATTTCTGCGTATGAAAAAAAAAAAAAAAAATACAAGACATGAAATTGTTTTAAATTGATTTTGTATTTATTGAATAAATGATTTAAAAGGTAATAACAATGTTTAAAACTACCGTCTTCACATCCATTGCTTACATATTCCGATAAACCATCTCTATATATATATATTTTTTTTTCCAAGCCTTTGTTTTTTTGCTAATTTTTTTTTTCTCATTTTCTCTGTGTATAGTTTCTTCTTTTTTCGAGTCATTATCATAACAATTGCCTGTTTCAAGTCTTATCACACTAACAGCAATTCAATAGGAGAGGAGGGGTCTAGCTCTACAGGGGATGGAATTAAAAGTTCCCATTTCATTATTCCATCGACATTTTTCAAGTTACTGAAGCAGACAAAAGATAAACCATCAGAAATTGAAAGGAAATCGAACTTGGTATGAGGAGTTACACCAGGCAACCCTCCCAGCCCATCAGGCCACTGCAACGGAAAAGTCATTTGTACAGCGACATGTCTTAGAAGTCACCGTCTCAAAAAATTCAGAACATAGAAAACCATTAAAATAATTTTGAAACTAGATCCAAAATATTCTTTGAAAAGAATTTGTTGTATAAAAACAGTCATTTTCTTTTTTATGTGCTTTTTTTTCGGTTGTTTTTTTAATAAAAGTTTCAAACACAAGTTTATTGTAGTTCTTATGTCATTATCATTATTATTATTGTTGATTCATTTTAGTCTTTTTTTTTTATTTATTTATTTTTCTTCTTCTATCAGTGCGATTGTATACCAGTGCAGCTACTGGGTCCAGAGTAAAGAAAACAGGCTTTTTTTTTTTTTTTTATCTACAATGGAATAAAAAAATCCATCTTTTATACAAAGGATAATTGCTGGTCTTTAGGAAAAAAAATTATAAACCCATAAAGCTAGGAGGCACACCATGGGATTTTCATTTTTGTAAATCATAATAATAATAATAATAATAATGATGATGATGATGATGATGGTGATGGTCTCTATAATAAAAAAACATAACTTGCAACCAGGTTTTCAACCGTCTTTGACACCATTTACCATGTTCAAAGACAGTCTTCATTTAAAAGTCACTCAAAAATTTTGGTTGCTTCTAAGTCAAGACAGCTGTGAAATTGCAACAAAATAAAGAAGACCAATTTCTTTTTTTTTTTCTCTCCTTTTTTTCTTTTTGTCAAATGCAGGGATGTTTTTGGAAGGACAGGAAGCCAGGCCTGAAGAGCAGCATTTGAGCATGGCCGCTGGCATCTTTGGTTCAGTCCAACATACGAAGGTAACATGAACTGGAGCATTCCGGGAAACATGAGCATGACCACAACCAAGGAATGCTGAGGCTGAACTCTTAACCAAAACACATTCTGCTACAACAAACTACGAATGCTGTTCCGTCATATCCCATGAGGTATCGATGCTTTTAACAGTTAAATCAGCGCAGAACGACAATTCTGCGTGTAAAACATTATCTCTGCATTCCACCGGAGGAGATGCTTCACCTTCAAACCTGGAGGTCTAAGAGAGGTTGTGGGACAGAAAAAAAAATAAAAAAATAAAAAATAAAAAAAAATCTTTAACTAGTCACAAAACAAACGTTGCCCCCATTGGGGGACGATTCAGCAGCTAGTAGGAAGAAAACGGAAAAAAAAAAAAAAAAAAAAAAAAAAAAGGAAGAAGTGCTCAGTGGAGAGCAGCATCTGATCTTCCGGAGAGGCAACGACTGCTACTATCACCACCGCTCCTC